TTTACTTAAATGAAGAAATTGTTGTAGAATATTAAAATACTCAATTAATTTGTTGTATGATACTTAAAATCCATCTTTATTTTTCTAATTTAAATTATTTTTATTAAATTAAATCTTAAAATTAATTTATCACTTTCATTAATTTTAAAATTTTTACTTTATTTTTTATTTCTCACCTTTATGTTGTTCTATTATTATTTATAGCAAAGTGTTATTATTTAAATTATCTAATTTTACTTCTTCTGTATATCTAATACTTATATAATTTTATTGATAATATTGAGAAATTAGACTTTATTACTAATTTAAATACAAAATGAAATAAAACACTTTTTAAATAAAAAAATATATATTTAATTTAATCTAGCCTATTAAATATATATGAAATTATTATTTATTTTTCATAATTTTTTTAAAATATAAATTTAATTTCTTGACTCTATTTTTTTCCACAACAAGTTTTTTAACTTTTATAAACAAAAAATAAAAGAAAATTCAATCATTAATGAAGGTGAGAAATAAATTTTAAGATTTAATTTAATAAAAGTAGTTTAAATGAGATAAATAAAGATGGAGAAATAATTTTTAAGTATCATACATAACAAATTAATTGAGTATTTTATTATTTTCAAATAATTTCTTCATTCAAGAAAAGATTAATTTTAATTTTAGGTGTGAGAAATGATAAATTGTTTGAATTATTTATTATTCTCAAATGATTTCTTAATCTTTCATTCCCTATTAATTAATTTTAATTTATTGTGAGACAATTAAAATTTTTTTAACTCTATTTTTATTTTGTTAATTATATAAGAAATATTAACCTGTGCTTTTTTAAATATGCATAGACAAGAAGCTTAATGACTCAAAGATAAAAATTTGATAATAATATATGATTGAGAAAAGATAAAATAATAATTTTTTTACATATGAATAAATAAGTAATGCAAATTGCCGGGTAAAAAATAAAACTATTTATTTTAATTTAAAAAAAATTAAAATAATAAATGCATTACTTAAAATAATAAATTTTAGGTTATTTATGTGGTGTGAAATAAGTCTTATAATTAAATGGTAAATTACAAATACACCCAGATGTTTGATTAAAATATGAATCACCTCCTGTGGTTCTGGAAATTACATTCTACCCCATGAGATTTTTGATTCCATAACAAATCGCCCATTTTATTAATAAATCATGAGTCAATTAACAATTTTTAATGATGTTAGAAATATGTTTCAATTAATAATTTAGGTAATTTTATTATTGTATAGGAAATTATGAATTTTATTTTTTTAGTTAAATCTGTTAAATAAAAAATTCTGACATTGAGATATTTGTAATTTTTCAAATCATAGGGGGCAATATGTATTTTAAACAAATCTTAGAAGGTGTATTTGTAATTTACCTTATATTAAATTATTGGGATGTTATGTAATGTTAATTTTACAGAGATTATTTATGTTTAGGTATTTTATCAATAAATATTATGTGTTTTTTTTTTATATTAAATGATTGACAATTTAATGATTTTATTTAATATTGCATGAAATTTAAGAATTTTATTAAATAATGATAAAATATGTATGGGCTTTTGATAATATATATGCAAAACCTCATAGGAGATGAATGAAATTTCTCAATTGAATAGATAAAATAATTAATGAGCAATTCCGTTATTTTTTTTGTATGACATCAACATGGCATTAGTACGACATCAGCAAATTTTGTTAAATAGCTTAATAGTGGAAGAATATTGATAATAATTTCAAAAGTAAAGGAGATTAGTGTAATTATTAAAATTATAGGAAATGTCTTTATAATTGTTAGAAATCTCATGGGAGGTAAGTGTAATTTACTCCCCAAAAAAAAAAGAAATATTTGCACCATCTTGAAAAAACCAAACAATTCTCGTGAGTGCGTGAGTGCATCTGAGTTTATATACTTGGACGGATAAAATGAGAAATTTAAGCAACAAATAAATGTACCATATAGTCATTTACATTTTTCCATACAATTAAAAAATTCATATCCCAATACATTAACTTTTATTATCTCATAAAAAAATCAAAAATGTCACTTAAATAATTAATTTTAAATATCCACTTAATTAAAAATATAAGAGACTTATGTATAGGTTCTAATAAGTAAGCTTATTATTCAATAGGTTTTATGATAATTAGTAATATTTTTTATCAAATATTTATAAAAAAATTACTAATTTTCAGTTTTAAGGGACAACTTAAAAAAATTGTCACAAAAAATCACTAATTATAGGCGATAGTTTAAAAAATTTCATAAAAAATTATTAATTGTCAATTTTTAGCGACAATTATCAATGACAAATTGATAGAACTTAGTAGGAATTAAATACAATTATTAAAACATGTTGATAATTTATCCTAAAAATAATTAAAACTCACTTAATTTTATCTATATTTTGTTTTTAAAATTTTTTAATTGATTAAAAAATAAATATATGAATTATTGTTTAATTCCAGGCACAAATTATACGCTAATACTCTTTTAAAATAAAATTTTCATATGAACGAAGTAGACATAACAGCAAAGTCCTTTTCCGATGTATCAAAAAAAAATAAAATATAGGACATATTATGCTTTAAAATGATATTAATTATGATTTAAAATAATACTATTAATTAGGATATTTCTAGTAGTTAATATCAAATTTAAATTTTAACATGTTCTATCACCAAAATATAATAGTTTGACAATATTATTCTAATTATAAAAATATTATTTATCGTATTTTTTTTCCACAAAATTCAAAATAAAAATGCTATAATTTTGGTGGTTGTTAAACATGAAATTTTTAGATAACGAGTCATTAGAGATGTTCTTACAATTTGAAATGATCATCAAATTAAAAGTAAGACTCAAGGTTGATTGTGAGATAAAATAATGTATAATTACTTGAAATTAGATACTCACGAATTGGGTTGGATCAAGTAATCTTTCATTCATTATTCATCCAAATTTAGATAGATTATAAAAAATTAATCAATATCTTTCTGTTTTGTTGGCAGATGCCGATTGAACGAACCGTGTAAATTAACTGATGAATGTAAATCGATTTGGTGATTTATACTTTATTATTTTATGCTTTTTTTTAGAAAACTATTTTAGGATATTTTTTTATTACGTTGAGCTTTTTTTGAGTTTAATATTTTTTATTCTTCATTTTTATAATTAAAATAAAAGTTAAATTTTCATATTTTATTAGTAACTAATATTATTACTAAATAAAATATATAATCATGCTAATCAAACAATCATAACAACAATATTAATTCATATTTATCTACAAAATAATAAATAATTTATTTTTAAAATTATTTTTATCTTCCAATATAATTTAATCATGTATTAATATTTTCGATTAATTTAATTTTTTTTTATAAATAATATTCAAATATGCTACAAAATAAATTGCTTATATCATTAACGTGAAAGAGCCCATAATGGATTCAAAAAAGCCCAAAATCACGGTCCAAAAAAGCTCATAATGAGCTCACTCACTGGGGTGGTTATTCGAAACCAGAGTGGCTTTCCTCTGGTCCGTAATCGGACTGGAGAGTGTTGTTGGGCTCATAGAAGCTCATTATGGGTCTCATTTTGATAATCTGAATCGGTTTAATGTGTAGAACTCGTCAGATACTATATCCTTGTAAAAAAATCACATTGATGAGATATCAATAGTTATGTGATCAAATCAGTTTTCTGTCAACAGTTTATTTTTTTATCGTCCATTTTATTTTATTTTTTTTATACAAAATTGATTTGATCAAGTAGCTATCGATACCTAATCAACGCGATTTTATGCAATATATAATATTCGACGAATTCTACACATTGAACAATTTGAATTATTAAAACATGACTCATAATGAACCCTAATAGGCTAAACATTACTGTCCAATTCGATCACAAATTGAAAGGAAACCCAGCCCATTGAGAACTATCAAAGTGGTGTGATTAGTGAAAAAAATAAAATTTATAATTTTGTATTCAGTAACTAAAGAAGGTGAAAAATTTATGATTAATCTGAAATATGAACACGGAACGCATTGTATTGAATAGTTTTTACACTCACTATACATTGGCAATCCAGTCAAAATTCAACTTTTAACTTTTTATATTATCTCACATTTTTTTACTCACAAAAGATAAAATAGACTAAATTTTTTTTATAAAAAACTATTTTTTCCCCAACTTTCCAAACCACCATAATGGCCCTGTTTGGTACAGCTTAATTTCAGCTTATTTCAGCTTAATTTAAGCTATTTTGATGTGTTTGGTTTAGCTTATAACTTATAGCTTATAGCTTTGTGGAAGTCAGAAAACAGCTTATTCTTTGAGTGGGGCAGGATATGCTTTAAGAATAAGCTGGAAATCAGCTTAAGCTGAAAGTTATAAGCTATAAGCTGTTTAGGCATAAGCTATAAGCACTTTCCCACAGCTCTACCAAACAGGGCTATAGTCAAAAAAGCCAAAAAGCCAAAAAGCCAACCCACTTCCCAAACGGAGGCTTATTAACTTCTCTCAACCCCCAAGTCTTACCCTTATAATAACACTTTAGAGGCGGAGGCACGATCGAGGCGGAGGCGACGAGCTGCGAGTTGCGACGGCGGGCGGAGGCGACGAACGAGCTGCGAGCTGCGACGAGGACGGCGAGCGGAGGCGGCGGAGGCGACGAGCTCCTCGCGGCGGAGGCACTGGCCCTTCCTCTCCTCTCTCTTTCTCCCTCTCTCCTCCTCTTCCCCTCTGTTCTCCTGTATTCAACGAAGTTCAACAAAGAAGAAAAAGAAAATCGCAAAACGACGTGATTTTCAAATTTCGGGCCATTCGACCCTCACACATTTCGAGCTACCACCTATTTTTCTTTTGGCTTAAAAAAAAAAAAAAAAAAAAAAAAAAAAAACTTTTCTCCCCAAATCACTCAATCCAAACGGTTAAATCGAAAAGAAAAAAGAACCAGAGAGAGAGAGAGAGAGAGAGGAGAGAAATGAGTGAGGGGAGGAGGAAGAAGGGGAAGGCGGTGGTGGTGGGGGGAAGCATAGCGGGGTTGTCATGTTCCCACGCTCTGATAGCAGCAGGGTGGGAGGTGGTGGTGGTTGAGAAATCAAGCTCTCCCCCAACTGGTAGCCCTACCGGTGCCGGACTCGGCCTCGACCCCATCGCTCGCAAACTCATCGCCTCATGGATCCAGCAATCCCATCTTCTCCATTCTTCCACCCTCCCTCTCTCCATTGATCAGGTTCAATTATCTCCTTCCATGCTCAATTTCCCCATCTATTTTATCAAAATTAATTTGCCCTAACTTCTAAATTGACTACAAGTTTTGATTAAACAGCTTCATTTGTCAAGTTTGAGTGGAAGCTATATAGGTTGGAGTAAAGGAGATTATTGGAATTTGATTAAAAGTGCCCAAGTGTAGTTTAGATTGGATAGAAATTGTAGTTAAGGAAATGGGTCTTCTTTGATTTGGGTTAACTGAGTAAAACTCAATTTGGCCTAAGTTTGAGTCATATAATGGAGGGTGTTTAGTGATTTTTACCCAAATTTAAATTTGATATAGGTTTGAGTTTTGAGTCAAGGATTTGAATTGCCCTCGTTAGAAGAACCGTAAGATATAGAATAAGAAGATAGATGAAGATGCAAATAGGATTATTTAGACTCTGTTAGTATTAGGACTTGTTTCACGTCTCTTCTCTAAGCCACCCAAGCCTAATTTATGTAGTCTAGATGCGTTTCCACCTAATTTTAATTGTTTTTGGGTTGGATTTCTATAAAATTCTAACATGGTATCATATCAAAAAGGTAATTTATGTCGTGGCTACGTGATATTATAATACATATATGTGCTTATGAGCTTGACGTCATGTGTGGGCGTGTTCAGGATATACTCTTAACAATTTGAACTTTTAGGTGAGTTGATGATCAACAATTTAACCAGAAAAACATAAATTTTGAAAGGTACCTCAGCGGTACATTGCACTACCCTTGTTTGGCAAAGCAAATAGTTGCATAATTAATTTAGGATGCCGCAAAATTCATTTTCAGCAGTCAAGTGATTTTTCTCTTTTCATTTTAAGTTTCTGTTGGTCTATAGAATCAAGCCACAGATGGTGAGAAGAAGATCAGCTGGACACTTACTAGAGATGAAAACTTCAATTTTAGAGCAGCACACTGGGCTGATCTCCACAGTCTTCTGTACAATGCTCTACCACCGAATATTTTTCTCTGGGGTCACTTGTACCTCTCTTTCTACATTTCTAATGACAAGTCTAATGTTAAAGTCAAGACTAAAATCCTTCAAACCGGTGAAATCACTGAAATAGTTGGTGATTTGCTCATTGCAGCAGACGGGTGTCTTTCTTCAATCAGAAGAAGTTTTATTCCAGAATTCAAGTTGAGGTTTGTAAATTGACACAAAAATGCAAATTTGGCTTTCGTTTTTTATTTTTATTTTTTAACTCAGAAATTATTGCTTGATATTTTAATTTGTTAAATCATTACCGTTAACGTGTGCAGGTACTCGGGTTACTGTGCATGGAGAGGAGTACTAGATTTTTCAGATAATAAGCATTCAGAAGCCATCAAAGGCATCAGGGAAGCATATCCAGATCTTGGGAAATGCTTATACTTCAACTTAGGTTACAAAACACACAGCGTGTTCTATGAACTTTTGAACGAAAAGTTCAACTGGATTTGGTATATCAACCAACCAGAGCCAGACCTTAAGGTGATTCTTTATTTTTATCTTATCTCATGCGAAGATATTTACTTTTTATCCTATTATGATTTAATGCTCTCCAAAACATGAAAAAACCTCGTTTTATTATCACCCGGGTGAAATCCCTGAGAGAGTTGAGTAGGATGAAATAGAAAGCAAGTTTTGTGCATAAAGGCAATGTTTTAGAGTTTGCATAGATGCACATAGAAGACAAGGTTATTGCCCAATTTCATAGGAAAATACAGTGTAATGATGTTGGATTGATTTAATAATAAATTAATGCAATTCCTTCAGCTTAATACACAGACTGAATTGTTGTCTAACCAATTTGAACTTACTAACGGAAAAAATGAATGCAGGGGAATTCAGTGACCATGAAAGTAAGCAGCGACATGATCAAGAAAATGCATGAAGAAGCAGAGAAGGTTTGGGTTCCAGAATTGGTTAGAGTCATGAAAGAAACAAAGGAACCTTTCATAAATGTCATATATGATTGTGATCCTTTAGAACAAATATTTTGGGACAATGTGGTATTAGTTGGAGATGCTGCTCATCCAACAACCCCTCATGGCTTAAGGAGCACAAACATGACAATATTAGACGCTGCAGTTTTGGGCAAGTGCCTTGAGAAGTGGGGAGCAGAAAATCTACATTCTGCACTCGGAGAATTTCAGTCTATAAGACTTCCAGTCACTTTGAAGCAAGTACTGCATTCGCGGAAAATGGGCCGCATCAAACAAGGTTTAGTTGTTTCTGATTGCAACCCTTTTGATCCGAAGATGGTGAGTCCTGAGGAATGCGAAGCGCTTCAGCAGAAAAACATGCCGTTCTTTGGTGATGTTCCTTCAATACTACTTGAGTAGACGATTTCTTCCATTTGCTTGTGAATCCAATCCTCCACCTTAATTATACATGAATTGTGTCACAACCAATAATCAGCATGAATTGTGTGTGTTCTGTAATTTGTGCTTGTATATATCCATGTATGATGATTGACTGGAATTGAAGAATTTAGGAATATTTTTTTTTCTAGATTATAACACTGTAATAGATTGTCTGAAGTGGGTGACTTTTGTTTTCCTTGACTTCAGATTATATGAATTCTTTACACATTCTGATTTTTTTTTTTTTTTGCTTTTTAGTTTTTGTTGTTGTTGGCGTTCAATGCAAGGGCATGAATATCTGGATTCAAATACCGGGAGAAAAAAATGTTGATTATTTTATCTCCTCTTTGATGGGATGTCAATATGCTTTGGGAGTCATTTACTGATATTGATATTTATTTCAGTACGTTTTACACATATACTAGAATGGAAATTGACAGGTAGGTAATACTAGATTTTTTTTTTAAAAAAAAATATTTATTAAAATCATGATATTTTAAAATATATTTTCTAAGCTTTGATATTTTTAATTTATATATATATATATATATTACAAATCATGTTTTAAAAATATAACTTTTCAAGTTTGAAGAAATCTAAGAACAAATTTTATTGAAGGAATTTGATAGTAACTTTCATTGCATCATAACCCTGTTTCCAAATAATATATTCTTCAACTTACAATATTGTTGTAAAAGCATGACAACTGGTGTTGAAAATTAAGTAGTCCATATAATATTCATAGAATATTTTAATATAATCTTTAGATTTGGTAAAGGACAAATTCAAAATTTTTGCTTTTGGAAAGTATCAAAGCATGCACTCAAAGAGGTCACTCACTCACTCCCATTCTTGAATATACTATACACAGAGAGAGAAAGAGAGAGAGGGAGAGAGAGAGATGAGTGATGGGGGGAGGAAGAAGGGGAAGGCAACAGTGATTTGCTGAAATGCTTCGCCTGCACTCAGTTTGGTACCATTTTTGCTGAATTCTGGATTTGATATCGATTTGGTGAAACCGTTAGAGCGTGAAAAAGTGAGTTTTTCATCAAAATTTAAATCTAATACTGGGTTTGGTTCACCGTTGGAGATGGTCTAAAAGCATGACGGTGTTGAAAATTAAGTTTGAGTAAAAATTAGTCCATATAATATTCATAGAATATTTTAATATAATCTTTAGATTTGGTAAAGGACAAATTCAAAATTTTTGCTTTTGGAAAGTATCAAAGCATGCACTCAAAGCGGTCACTCACTCACTCCCATTCTTGAATATACTATACACAGAGAGAGAAAGAGAGAGAGGGAGAGAGAGAGATGAGTGATGGGGGGAGGAAGAAGGGGAAGGCGGTGGTGGTGGGGGGAAGCATAGCAGGGGTGGCGAGTGCGCACGCACTTATAAGAGCTGGGTGGGAGGTGGTGGTGGTGGAGAAATCAATCGCACCACCAACTCGAAGCCCAACCGGAGCCGGACTCAGCCTCGACACCGTCTCTCAGAAAATCGTCAACTCCTGGCTCCGTCAACCCCACCTTCTCCAAACCTCCACCTTGCCTCTCTCCATTGATCTGGTACAACCTCTCTTCTCTCTCTCTCAAATTTATTTGCCCTAAGTTGTACTGGTTCATTTCTAGAGTTTGTTTTTACTTTTTTAGCATTAGCTTTTGGTAATTGCTATTTGGGGCAAAATCTACTACAGACTAACAACCTATGTGTATGATGTTTTAGAAGTAACTGTAAGATAGAGAATAAGATGATTGAAGCGACTGCAAATAGAGGATTATTTAGATAAGTATAGTATTATATTATTCAAAACTATGTTTGAGTAAAATTTTTGAACAAAAGGTTTATTTGATATGAATCACTCCAAGAGACAAGCTCTTATTTAAGCATATACCTGTGTAAAAGCTTTAGTAATGGCAGAGAGATCAATTTCAAAGTCACAAAATAGCTTTGAAAATTTTGAGTAAACATTTGAATGTCCTTTGATTTGAGTAAAGGAGTGGAGATGAGTGTTTTGGTAGTTCTTTACTCAAATTTAAATTTGATATGGGTAAAGGGTAAGAGCTGGAGATGCCCTAAGTCATTCAAGCTTGGTTTGGATGTCTCCAAAATTTTAACATAATCAATATCAGAGCATGTAATATGTCTTGTATTCGAACATCATTGTCTATATGAGAATTATAATATTTTCACGTTCTTATGTCTAACATGTGTGGGGGCGTGTTGAGGATATACTTGAACAGTTTAAACGAGTTGTGACTTCCTGATCTGCACCCAACCTTCGCGCCTTAAAAAAGATTGTTATCAAATTTGAACCTCTATGTACACCTCTATATCACGTAAACTGTAAAAAAAATGGCATAACCTGCATGAGATCTTTGTGATCTTGGCTCCTTAAGGGATGGTCATCGAAATGGCTTTTTGACCATATTATCAAACAGTCAAATTTTAAGTTTTCTTTTTCTTGTAAGAGTTTCTCTTCATTTTACAAGCCACTCCTGTGACCTACAGACCATGTGGCATGCCACAGGTTTGTAGACAGTCCTTGTAAATTTAAACACAATAAGATCAGTAACTTTTCCCTCCTTTCTCTTTTTTATTTTAAGTTTCTGTTTGCCTATAGAATGAAGCAACAGATGGTGAGAAGAATATCAGATGGACACTTGCAAGAGATGAAAACTTAAATTTTATAGCAGCACACTGGGCTGATCTCCACAGTCTTCTGTACGATGCGCTACCACCAGATATTTTTCTCTGGGGTCACTTGTACCTCTCTTTCTGCATTTCTAATGACGAGTCTAATGTTAAAGTGAAGACTAAAATCCTTCAAACTGGTGAGATCATCGAAATAGTTGGTGATTTCCTCATTGCAGCAGATGGGTGTCTGTCTTCAATCCGCAGAAGTTTTCTTCCCGAATTCAAGTTGAGGTTTGTAGAATGACACAAAAATGCTTTTGGCTGTGAAGTCCTCTGTGATATATAAATTTAATAAGCCATTATCATTAACTTGTGCAGGTACTCAGGTTACTGTGCATGGAGAGGAGTATTAAATTTTTCAGATAATGAGCATTCAGAAGCCATGATAGGCATCAGGGAGGCATATCCAGATCTTGGGAAATGCTTATACTTGAACCTAGGTTACAGGACACATACCGTGCTTTTTGAGCTTTTGCACAAAAAGATCAACTGGATTTGGTATGTCAATCAACCAGAGCCAGAACTTGAGGTGATTCATTGCTTATTCTTATCTTATGTAAACATATTTTCTTTTTATCCTATTATGATTGAATGCTAACCAAATCATGAATTTTATTTTGGCTAGAGTGAAATCCCTGAGAGTGAGAATTAAATCAGATGAAAATAGAAAGGAAGTTTTGTGTAATGTTTTAGATTTTGCATAGATGCGCATAGAACACGAGGTTTGCCTCCCAGCTATAGTGTCAGACTGTCAACCAATTTACACCCTTGGAGGATGATGATTAGCCTGTAACTGTTGCTGGATAGGCTAGAAATTCATAGGAAATTTGACCTGGAAAGATTGCCAGACATAGATTAGCGTTTTGAAAAACAAATTGGTTAGACAGTAAGGATATTAAAAATTAAATTGGTTATTGACCCATTTCGAGAAGAAAAGACAGTTTAAGGATGTTGGATCAATTCAAAAATAAATTTAGACAGTTCTTGTACTTAGGAGGGCGAGCCTTGACAAAACGGTCATGTTGCTCAATTAGGACTTTGGAGTCATGAATTCAATCCACAGAAACAACCTCTGCACGGGGGGATAAGGATGTGTACATTTGACCCTCCTCAAATCCTGTGGTAGAGGGAGCCTCAGGCACTGGGAGACTGCCCCTTTTTACAATTCCTTAAGTTTCATCCGCAGACTCTGGTCTTGTTTAACCAATTTGAACTAACTAGTGGAAAATGTGAATGTAGAGGAACTCAGTGACCACGAAAGTAAGCAGCAACATGATCAAGGAAATGTATGAAGAAGCAGAGAAGGTTTGGGTTCCTGAAATGGTTAAGCTCATGAAAGAAACAAAGGAACCTTTCATAAATGTCATATATGATTGTGATCCTTTAGAACAAATAGTTTGGGACAATGTTGTATTAGTTGGAGATGCTGCTCATCCAATAACCCCTCACAGCTCAAGGAGCACAAACATGGCAATATTAGACGCAGCAGTTTTGGGAAAGTGCCTTGAGAAGCAGGTAGCAGAAAATCTGCATTCAGCACTCGGAGAATTTCAGTCCATACGGCTTCCAGTTGTTTCGAAGCAAGTACTGCATTCTCGGTATGTGGGTCGCATCAAACAAGGTTTAGTTCTTTCTGATCGCAACCCATTTGATCCGATGATAGCAAAGCCAGAGGAATGCCAAATACTTCTGCAGAGAAGCGTGCCCTTCCTTGGCGATGCTCCTTCAATATTACCTTAGACAATATGTTCCATTTGCTTGAGAAGCATTGCCCTCGAACTTCTTATCATCTGCTGCTTTCATTGTGTTGTAACCAATAATCAACATGAGTTGTATGTATTCATGTATTATAAGTTGTACTTGTATAGATTCATGTACAATGATAGACTGGAATTGAAAATATGATTGGTTTTTCTAGATTAACTTATCACTGTAATAGATTTTTCTGATGTGGGTGATTTGTAATGCCCTCTTGACTTGAGATTATTTGAATTATTTCCACACATCCTTCATAAACAACTTTTTTTGTGTGGAGGCATGGGGCGGTGTAGCATGAAAATATAAATAAGTCAGATTAAATAAATAAGCCACGAAAATATATCATAAACTCACCTCTTCAGTATTTATAATCCATCATAAACAAAACAACTTAAAATTAGAAAAAGGGAATAAATAGAACATTTCAGACCAGAACTCAATCACCTACTACTTAACCAATAGAGAATAAGATACATAACATGTGGTACATTAGTTCTGTTGGTACCAGTGACAGGAATCACCACACTGACAAAAAAAAAAAAAAAAAAAAGGCAAACTAAACTGGTTTAGCAGGCCATGTTGCTTGAGCCGACATGATTATTCCGACTATTACTCCAAACAACCCGAGGGCACTACCAAAGATTTCAATCACAAGAATCTTCACAAAAAGTGATGAGTTCTGGGCATCAGATAATGCACAGCTGCTTCCGATAATTCCCACACACAGCCTGTACCAAGCAGAAGTTGATAAACGGAGATTAGAACTCACAGAAATGAAGAAGAGACTGCTATATGATTAGGGGTGATTTTGGAAAGAGATAAATGATAGAACAAACCCGCAGACGAGGTTTGCGAAACCCACAATAATCCCTGAGGCAAATATAGCATAACCAGCTCTAAGAGATTCAGGTTCATGTATTTGTGATGGGGGAACACTCTCCAACTTTGTTTGTAGAATAATTGCCACAATAACACCGTATATAGCAACAGCTTCACAGAAGATCACACTGAAAGCACAAGGAATGGTGTCAAATTACAATCTCAATAGGCATATCCCACAAATAAGCTCATATGAGGATAGAGAAATTTTTGTATGCGGATAGGGTACATACCATGTGGTACCTTCTATTATTGTGATTGGCTTTGACAATAGGGTCCACTACATTTATGTTAGTGTTTGGGGAACAATAGTAGGCATATACATTTGTGATTAGTGGAAGGTAGTGTCACATGGTACCCTATTGGCATACAAAATTTCTCGGATATGAGTGACTGATTTAAATCACAATTACACCATAAATAGCAACGGTTTCACAGAAGATCACACCAACAGCATAAAAAGATTTTAAAGTCAAATTACAATCTCAAGGGGTATCGATTGAAGTCATTCAAAGTTATCAAGTTCAAGAAAGCACATGCATACCATTGTGCCCTCATCGTGGTCTGTAGTTGACTTCATCCCATTTCAAAGATTTTAGCTCGACTGTCAAAACCTTGATTGGTCAGACAGGTTCATGTATATGGTCCTCACTCTAGCCCAACACAACCACCAACTGTAATGTATGGGTGGTGGGGGTAAAGTTAGGAAGCCTTACAAGTGTTTAGGCACTTAATAACTAAGCTAAATCCTTGATTGACACAAGGGGAAGCAATTATGAATGTTTGAGCCATGAACCAGACCAAGATATGGCTTGATTACTGCCTATGAGGTTAATAAAGACCATTTCAATTGCCGATTAATGAGAATGTTTAAACATCACAGTAAACAAAGTTATACACTTCCAGTTTCATTGGTGTATTCTAGTCCAAAAATTTTACACATCCCTTCTAATGAGAATGTTTAAACATCACAGAAACCAAACACAGTTTTTCTAGTTATTTTTGTCACTAAATTTTCTAATCGGTTGGACTGTTTCATGCTATGCTGATTCTTAATACTTGCTCCTTCACCCTGGCTCTTTCATTTTGAGAAAACCAGTGGTATCATAACTTGTAAGATTTGCAACTTCAAAAGAGACCACTACATTCAAAAGCAAGAATGTCCTAAAGTTTGATTTGATTTCAGAACCAAAATTGTTGAGAGTTTATATTATTTTTATAAACAACAATGCTAGAGGGCTACAATTTTTGTGGCCACAATGGCTCAAAACTGCCAAAACGACGTCATTTTGGCATGTTTTGCATCCAAAACGACAAAATTTTGACAGTTTTGAGCCATTGTGGCCACAAAAAAATGTGGCCCTCAAACATTTTCCCTCCAATAATTGCTAATAAGGTAAAAATACATACATACATACATACATACATACATACATACATATATATAGAGAGAGAGAATTGAAATAAGAGGTAGGGTTTCACCTAATGAGATTCTTCGAAGTGATTCGTGGAGCTTTGATTGCCGCACCGATCAAACTACTCCCAGTGATGAAAATCCCCCTGAAGACAATATCGCCAAAATCAAGGTGTCAGAAATTTTTTTAAAAAAATGTAAATAAATATAAAGATTGATATACCAAGCAGCGCCGAGAACAGAGACGCCGATAGCGATGGCGATGCCAAGAGCAGAGAAGGTGTACGGTGAGATCTGAAGCATCGCTCGAGACCATGAGCTTGACGCTCCCACCATTGCCGAACCTGACATCCAATCGACCCCGGTTTTTTTATAGTGCTTCTCCTTCTTTCTACAATCTGTTGTTCGTCGCACAGCCAGGGGAAGAACTCAATCGAGAATCTACGAAGAGGGGAAAAAAAAAAAAAAAAAAAGAGTTCAATACAACAATGTGGTAATGTGGTGTGCGGGAAGTTATTATTTTAATTTTTGACTATTTTAATAAAGTAAAATTTTTAAAGAGATTTGGTGATAGATTTCTTATTGGGGTGACTCTATTTACACATTATCTTTTTTCTTAAAGTAAATTATTAATTAATTTTTTTTTATTATAATTTTAATCTTAAGTGAAATGATTATAAATGACAAGTTATGATACACACAATTTGTGTATTTACCATAAAGGACAAGAATGAATATAATATAAATCATCAATTTTAAACTTGTTCCTTACGTATCTTCTTTGTCAAGAATAAAAAATCCCTAAAACCAAAACCAAAAACTCTTCTACAAATAATAAAAAATATAGTATTATTGAAGATTTTGAATGGATTCAATGAAGGATGCATCTGACAACTTTGATTTGCAACAATGGAGTAAGGAAGAAGTTATTTTTTTTGTTGTTTTTGTTTTCGTTTTCGTCTACTTGCTGAGTGGTAAATAGTTGGTACAGTTCGGTTAACCAGAGGTGGATATTATATCATTGTTCGACTTATTACAACTGGACAATTTGTATTTGTTCAACCAAAAAAAACCGAACAAAATGCATTTGTTCAGCATACTACTGTCGAACAAAATGCATTTGGTCAACATACTACGGTCGAACAAAATGCATTTGTTCAACATATTACGGTTGAACTTTATTCGTGAGTTCGGTTAACAAAAATCAAGCCATTTCATTTAGTTCAACTCTGTACTGTCGAACATTTATAATTTTTATTTTTATTTTTTTTTTTTCAAAACGGTGCATCTGTGGAATGCAGTAATCTTGGATCTGGGGTCTTGTTGACTACACGAGTTAATTTATTACTAATGAGGTAGTCTCATGTCGAAAATTAGTATTTTTTTCTTTTTCTTTTCGGATGTTTAATGACTTTGTTGAATTTTACTTGTAGGTTTTCAAGAGCAAAGAAGAATTACTCGGTTGGGTACGGAACGTTGGAAGGAAAAATGGGTTTGTAATTGTCATCAAGACATCAGACTATGGTGGTGGTCATAGGACACCAAGGATATTTTTTGCCTGTGAGAGAAGTGGTCAATACAAAGCTCATAAGAAATTAGAAGGAGATGATTCAAGCAAAAAAATTGTAAAGATAACGGGTACAAAGAAATGCGGGTGTCCCTTTGAGTTAAGGGCTCGTAAGTTGATGGTTGCTGATGATTGGATAGTAGATGTAGCATGTGTAATGCATAACCATGCTCCTGCTAAACATTTTGAAGGACATTCATTTGCAGGGAGATTATCTGAGGAGGAAACATCATTATTAGTGGATATGTCCAAAAGCATGGTCAGACCGAAAGAGATTTTGGTTACATTGAAACGAAAGGATGCTTTGAATGTAACCACTATGAAAACCATTTATAGTGTACGTCATAGGAATAATGTTATTGAGAAAGCCGGGAGATCACAAATGTAACATTTGTTGGGTGAGTTAGAAAAGCATAATTACATTGAGCGGCATAGGTGTGACAACAACACGATGATTGTCACAGACTTATTTTGGGCACAGCCTGTCAGTTTAGATTTGCTCCGTTCATTTCCAAAGGTGTTGATCATAGACTGCACATATAAGACAAATCGATATCGTCTTCCTCTTCTTGAGATAGTTGGAGTGACATCCACTGATATGTCATTCTTCGTAGCCTTTGCATATCTCCAATTTGAGCGGATTGATAACTACGTTTGGGTGTTAACTACATTGCGTAGTCTCTTGGATGGCATTTCTATTCCTGAGGTGATTGTTACGGACAGGGAGCTTGCTTTGATGAATGCTATTGATAGGGTATTTTCTACATCTCGACATTTATTATGCCGATGGCATATTAGTAGAAATGTACTGGCGAAATGCAAGAAAATGTTTAAGAGTAAGGAGGAATGGGACAAGTTTATCTCTTTATGGAATTTCTTAGTACTCTCCTCAACTGAGCTTGAATACAATGAACATCTTGCTAGGCTACTTACGGATTTTGATACATATCCTGAGGCAGTGCAATATGTGTCACAAAGTTGGTTAATTCCATATTTTACAACCAATAGGTAATATATATTTGACTACCTTACACTATTACGCATTACGATTTTGATTATTTAAACTTGATTATGTTAATTGTTTCCATTGTACACAGGGCTGAAAGTGCACATGCAAAACTGAAACGGCAACTTGGTTCTAACCAAATAAATTTTGAGTGTTCTTGGACCAAGATCCATAGTTTGTTTGAGTTGCAGCATGTTGATATTAAGGCATCGTTTGAGAAGAGTTTAACCATTGTACAACACCAGTTCAAACCATCCCATTTTAGAGAGCTCCGAGGCAATATCTCTATTACTGCATTAGATCATGTCTTAGCGGAGAGTAAGCGAGCGAATGATGTTGGCATTGATGCTTTAGTATGTGGATGTGTTGTTCGACGAACACACGGGTTACCGTGTACCCATGAGATTGCGGATTACATCCGACAGGGTCGTCCAATACCACTTGATAGCATTAACCCACACTGGAGGACTCTTGAGGTAGTACAAAAGTTGAAGAATGATAAAGTGGAATTGAGTTGTGAACCAAAGTTTGATATCATACTTAAGCGATTCAATGCATCTGATTTACACTGTGTAGTTGGAAATTCTGCATAAGTTAGGAGAGATTGCAGATCCGCAAAGTAGTTTTCTCATTGAGCCGGATGTGAAGCCCAACCCTCGAGGTAAGGGACATAAGAAGATAGATGTATCTACGTATCGAGACCCATGTGCATTTGAGCTAGTTCAGTCTGGACATGATAGCCACTCACCTATGGGCACCCAGATCCCCACACAAGATTCTGTCAAAGTACATAAAAAACGGCCTGCCAAAGAGCAGGTACATGTAATCATTTTTTACTTACATTTTTGTTTATGATAAATTACGTGTTTTGTTGTTCATGTGTTGATGTCTTCCATGTTGAATAGGTATATCGGACGCATACAAGTACGACTTATTCATAAGTTGATGCCCTTCCAGTTGGATTGAAGCCTTACATACGTCTTATCGAGGATGTAGATGCCGATGGCAATTGCGGGTTTAGGGCCATTGCTGGCTTGATGGGGCTTACAAAGGCTGAATGGGTTCAAGTCAGGCGTGATCTCCTACAGGAATTGCACACACACATAGACCATTACACTCATCTATATGGTTCACATGACAGGATTAAAGAGCTGACCCATATTCTATCATACTTTGAGCCCAATCCAGGGTATCACCGTTGGATGATTATGCCTGACATGGGTCATCTTATTGCATCTTGTTATAATGTGGTATTGTACCACTTATCTGCACAACAATGCCTTACTTTCCTCCCCCTACGATCAGTGCCAATATCACAACTTCAACGGCGTGAGATTGCTATTGGGTTTGTTAATGGGAATCATTTTGTCTAGGTATAGCATTATGATTTGTGTAATACATTTATCATTTTGTACTGCATCGCTCTCATACTTATAGCTGTGTCAATGTAGGTGTTCATGTTACGGGGTCATCCAGTTCCACCGATAGCTACCAATTGGTGCAAGTTTCGTCATTTTTGTGCAGCTGGATATGATACTGCATATAGTCGTCGAATTGAGCATTTTAAAGAAGTTATTCATTCAGGGGTAGCTACTAGAGAGACATTTGATTGTATTAACCTTGATGAGTAATGATGTATGTGAGTTGAGTTGTAGTGATGCAATTTAAATAGTTAGCAATACATTTTTGTGGATTAGCATTTAAATAGTTGAGTTGGATTAACCTTTGAGTTAATTTAATGCACATGGTAGTACTTGTTCATTGCGATGTATCAAATGCATTGGCATAATACTTCCTGTTGATTACCAAAATACAAACCATGAATACTTGTTCGTTACAAAATATTGGTAGAGTAATTCTTGTTCATTACAAACCAACAAAAATATCAAAAGAGTACTTGTTTTCCATTACAAAATAACAAAACAAGATTATCACATAACCAACTACCTATCATCTACTCGTCTCCTACGATTGTATGTTCGAAGTGGAATAGAGCTAGGTCCAGTCTCATCAATTTGTTGACCTTGAAGAACACGTGTCATCCTTTCAATGGCCTCATATAACCTATCTGGCTCACGAACACTAGCATCATGGCCCGCCTCGATGATATGATAGGCAATCCGTAGTGCGTGATCAATACGCTGCATTAAGAACAAATACAATTGTAATTAACACATGCCATCTTCAAAAAGAATGTAAACAATATGTGACCAATACTGTCATACCTCAACATCTTGCATGTCAGATCAACTATCCTGTGCACGTGGGTCAAAACCAGACCGATGTATGGGGTTCTGGATATGTAAGTGTGTGATGGTTGTATACCACTTCATGTAACCATCAACACAATCAGCTGAACGTCAGACTGGGGCACTCCTCCTCCGAGCATATAAAACATGATTATCCCAACTCTCTCATATCTGATCAAGATACTGATACATCACTCTATATCGGCCTGCTGTCACACCTCTAACAACACGAACAGGGTCGAGTGGCGCAGGTGGGATGGTCTGAACCCTACTAAACTGTCTAAGAACCCTTTCAGGATGATAGGGTTCAACTACATCCAAACACTTCAAACATCCAGTGTAGAATGTGATCTCATGACATGGGTGATATTGACGGCAATGTCGATATGGATCCCAAGTAACCTAAGAAAGAAACACAAATGAAATCGTGATGAGTGACATGTATTTAGAAAACTTAATTAAACTAATATTAATTGGTGTACCTCATCAAATGCCAATCTGTCAAGCTCCTCCCGTAATGCCTATAGGTGTGATATCGTTGAGCTAGCTTCCCAACGAGGAGTCCATTGATGCACGTGAGGCAATTGTACAGTATATTCCATGTTTTGGTAAGGTCTAAATGGCCGGAAATGCTCATAAATCCATGCCTCCAACAATGTCATGTAACCAGCCATCTGTCGAACAGCTGATCTCGTGGCAAATCCCAACTGTCGGTATAAATATGCCAATGCAGCTGCACCCCAAGCATATGTATGAATATCAGACAAATCCATCAACAACTTCAAGTACACAATAGGAACTCTCGTCCCACTCTTATCGCTGAACAATGTACATCCCAATAGAAATAGCAAATACGCTCTGGTGGCACAAGCTATGGATTCGTCAGTGTTTGAATCTTTGCAACCACTGAATTTGCTTCGTAACCACTCCAGCTTCACTGATTGTCCCCTAGCAGATGATAGCTCCTCAGTTGCTTCAGCATCATTAACTCCCAAGGCATCTACCACAAGTGCATGTGCCTGTTGATCTGTTAAAGTTGCAGCACTAACTGATCTACCTGTGATAGGGATCCCCAAGATGGTACCTACATCATCTAATGTCATCGTCATCTCACCAACTGTCAAATGGAAAGTATTTGTCTCTGGTTGCCATCGCTCAACAAATGCAAATATGACAATCCTATTCACGAACTGATATGTGTAATGGACCAAAGAAGATAGGCCTGACAGCTGCACAATGTCCCTAAACCTTCTATTGTCAGTTTTTGACCACCACCGCCACTCAAGAATCTTGGACGCATGATTATAACACCTTAAGGAATTCCTCTCTTGCAAGGTAAGTAATAATTTACATAAATAATTTTGTTCAATAAATAATTAAATGAAACAAACATGGATAAAAAGATATACTACCTTTTGCTCCCATATAGCTACTGCAATATGTGCCTTGAAGCTCTTTAGTACTGATGGATCTGATGGGCCCCCAAGAAACAGACCAGTGAGTACCTCCTCAGCCTGATCTACATCAGCAGCATCATCATCATCATCCCCTGAACCATTATCGATCACATCCTCTTCCAAGATTTGAGATGCTTCCTCCAACACAATATCATCACCCCGACCTCTACCCCGACCACGACCTCGACCTCGGCCACGACTAGTATTAGTTAATGCACGACTAGTATTATTAACATTTGGTTAATCACTTTTTGAAAATAGATTTTTCTATCCCATTTACCATCTTTCTTGAAGCTAAAAAGCAGCTCACCTTTACAGGCATCTTGAGGCAAAGGGAGGATATTAGAGGTCACTCTTCAAACTTCCAAGTTATATTAGAAGCAGTAGTAATGCAAAATTGATTTATTATTACAAACCCAAAGCAAGGGAAAACAGTATATAGAAGAAAATTTTTGAGTATCAAGTAGTACTTAAATAAATTAAGTTGCATGAACAAGAAGCGTATTGGGCTCATCAACAAGCAACAGTGCGAATGACAACACGACACAAAATGACTAGATTTTTATTTTTTTGTAGAAATAAGCCAAGCACACCCAATTAAAAAGAAATATATAAAAAAAAAAGGTACCCAAAAAAACACCACATTTTATCAAGATTTCTCCATCTTGTTGATATCCTGTAAATCATTATAAAAAATAATTTATGAAACTCCTTGACATACAACTTTAAGGAACAAATCTATCAGGTTTGAACAGTACTATGCACTAACATGAAGTAAAAGTGTCATAACTTTGCATTTAGGCATCAGTCTACTGAAGCAAGAGTGTTTGAGTGTCACCTTAAGTTAAAATAAAGACTCAACGGAGTAGATGTGGGCTGAATTAAAACACAAGTGTAGTTGAAGTTACCAATTTGAATTGAATTAGCACGATAGAATAGAAAGGCAAAATACTTATGTTACAAAACAAAAAACACAAACACAGAAGCATTATCAAGCCAAACATATGTATGTATAAGCATAAATCTTCCAAAACAGAGGGTACAAAATCAGAACTGTTCATAAGAAAATAAAACATGTAGGATTTTTGCTCCAAACCACTAGCATGAAAAATCAGAACTATTCTTAAGACAAACTGACATTCATATAAAAAAAGAGGGAGAATAATTGTTATATAGATCTCATGGCTACTGCACAGACCATCATATCCCAAACATGTCCTCATCTTTTCATGATTTGTTCACTTCAAAATCCATTCTTGACTATTATTGCCTCAAATTGACCAACTATAGTATGTTTGAGCCAATTTCTCACATTCACATCTCAACATGCCTATAACCAAACACCTTCAATTTCTACACACTTTGGCTAAAACAGAACCTGAATTTGATCAAAAAATAAATTTAGATAAAAGGGAAAACATAAGTAGTGTCTTATATTTTCTGTGTGCATAATTAATTTCAAAATAACAAATGGAACTAAAGATCATTTGTAACCATAAAGATCACAGTAGCTTAGAAGTAGAGTAAATGGGAATTTCTGATGATACTTCAACAGAAAAAAAAAAAAGAAAAAAAAAATCCATGTTCGACAGTATCTGTCCGAACATAATGTACATGTTCGGTTATCTACAACCGAACATGTTCAACAGTCCACACTCGTACAAAATTGTGTTGTCCGAATATCAACTATCAAACGAATTTAGGCTCCAAACAACCAGTGTCGAACGATTCACTCAAATACGATTCACTCAAATACAAACTTCATGCCAATGGAGATGAGTGCATAAAACCCTAAAATAAATAATAACTCACCTAATAAATCTCCAATGTGAAGTTCCAACTGTGTTGAGCAACACCACCGACGACGTCTTGATGATTGTTTTCAGCAATGGTGTTCACCGGTGTGAATAGCGAATGGAGTGGGAGATAAATATTGTGGGTGTAAGGTGTGGGGTATGTGGCTGTGTGGGGGCAAAGATGGAACTTTGTGTGTATATTGTTGTGTGTGGGTGTGTGAGTAAGGGCAAATATATAAATTTGTGGTGTGTGATGAGAAAAATATTTATTTTTGCAAATTATTTTTGGTGTGCCTTTAGAACTGGTTTGCCTTGAGAGGGAAAGTGGTGTGTAAATAGAGCCTCCTCTCTTACTGTCTAATTTATCTTTTAAAATGACAAAAATTATATAGATACTTTCAAAATCTCATAATATTTTAAAACTTGTTTTTTTAGGATTAATTATCTAAAAGTCCTATCTACATATTTGGTGGTAGCTTAAGTCCTGTATAAAAGTTTTTGAATCAATAAGTCTTATTTATAGATAAGAAGACATTTTTACCCTTCAATCCAAACAGTTATATATAAACTGAGAATGTTCTCAATTTCTCCCAAAAAAATAATTTCATCCCAAAAAAAAAAAAAAAAAAAAAAAAATTGAAAATATTAATAGTTTTGAGAAATTTCTCAATTTTTTTTCATGATTAAAATTGAGATTATTATAAACTGAGAATGTTCTCAATTTCAAAACAGAGAATAATTTCAGTTTATAATTATCAAAACTAATAAATTTTTCAATTTTTTTTAAAAAAATATTATCAGTTTTAAGAAAATTCTCAATTTTTTTCATAATTAAAAGTGAGAATATTATAAGCTGGGAATATTCTCAACTTAAATTGAAAGCAAGAAAAGATGAGAGAGAAAGTTAGAGAGAGCAAGCCAATGATTTTGATCGCCATTGATGTGGAATTTTTGGGATCTTCAAGAGTAGTAAGCAATTCAAGAGACAGGATTGTCATAGAGAGAGAGAGAGAGAGAGAGAGTTAGGAAGAGAGAAACTGAAGCATCTCGTGAAGGAGATTTTGTGGGCTATAATAGGGTGATTCAAGAAAACAAAACTAAAAGGTACAGACAGAGGAAGCAAACAAGGATTTGATGTTCCATTAGTGGAAAAAGTAGTGCGTTCTTGAACATGAAATCATCCTCAATGATTTCTTTGTCAGAATGAACAGGAAATGGAAGGTGAACTTCAATGACGGAGCCACTGCCACGAGTGACGTAGGCATGAATAGATTTCTTGACAACCTGGAAGACATAGTGGATGATGACGACAGCGTCGCCGTTCTGGAATCGACCTTGGGCGACGATGGAGGAGGTCTTGGAAGGGTAAATTGGTCTATTAAAAATTAATGGGACTTGAAAGAGTAAATAATTTTATCTAGTTAATGGATTATAAGTTTACAAAATGAGACTTGTATGTAAATGCCCCATTTTTTTTACTATATTACCCTCATATCTATCAGCTCTCTTATTAAACAATCTTCACAGTGTATTTCAGAGTAAAGTTTACTATGATTTAAAGTAAAATTTTATATTGTTAAGCAAATCAACATATTTTTAACTAGAGTAAAATTTTACTCTAAAAGTACAATTTTACTCTGAATCAGAATAAAGTTTACTATGATTCAAAGTAAAATTTTATATTGTTAAGCAAATTAACATGTTTTTAACCAGAGTAAAATTTTAGAGTAAACTTTACTTCTGATTTAAAGTAAAATTTTACTCTGAAAGTACAATTTTACTATGATCTAAGGAGAGTATCCACTTTGAATCACACTAAGTGTTATGTATTAATAACTTTGCGTATTTGGTTGCTGTGAAAATCATAGAAACATAACAAGAAAACCAATATAGTTTGGTTGTTTAGAAAATCAACATGTTTTTAACCAGAGTAAAATTTTACCGTTCCAAATCTGTCTCATACATACATACATACAATCAGAGCGTTTTATCTGTACAAATTGGAGTTGCAAAAATTTGGTTTGCACAGTGAAAATCTTATACATGTATCTTATCTGTTCAAATCTTTGTTCAAACCCAAAATATATATATATATATATATCAAATGTCCATGATCAGTTGAAATTTCCCCTCTCATTTACACAGATATACAATCCAATCTTGAATGCAATAACAGATATATAGAGATACACACACACACACAGGTTGTACTCCTCCTTCAGCCATCTAATCTAACACTAAACAAACAGTAATAAAATAAAATAAAAAATAGAGAAGAAACAAAGAAGAAGAGAGATAGATAAGGAGAGGAAGAGATGGATATACTACTACTACTACTACTATTACTATAACAACAACAACAACAACAACAACAATTAATGTCTTCAAAAAATGTTTGTAAAATGTGAAAAAAAAAATTGATCCCACTCCACAGATCCAAAGTTAGACAAACTGAACTGAACTCAAATCCGAACTCAAATAAAATGTTTGAAAAAAATTTGATCCAGATATGTTAAAAATATAGATTTGTTCAAACACAGATCTGTTAAAAAAATACAGATCTATTCGAAGCTAGATCTAGACTTCTCTGACAATCTAACCGGAGGAAGAGGAGCATGGTGGGATTTGGGCTCGCCATCGCCGTGAGTTATGATCGTTCACTTCTATACGCTAAAGTAATAGTCATGGCGATACTCACTTTGGATTCCTCACTAACATATCTAAACAGGAACACCATTCGGCGATAAGGGTCATAGCCGCAAGGTTGATGTGGCAGTGTTCCTAGTGAAGGGTGAAGAAAGAGCAGCGGAAGAGGGAGGAGCAGCAGCAGCGCTTGTAGTAGGTGACGACGACGATGGCAGTGATCGTCTCAGATCAGTCGCCTCAAATTGTCTCGTCGGAGGTCGGAGTCATTGTTCGACTTCTCGATCACCTTAGACTATGTTTAGAGGGGGATGAGAGAGACGAGAGAAGGTGGGGAGATGGTGGGTGGAGAAGGTGAGAAGATTTAATTTGAGGGTATAATAGTCTGATAAAATATTTAAATAATAAATTTTGTCCTTTATGCAAAACTTTATAATTATGAGGAGATTTAGAAAGTATAATTTTTTTCTTAATCCTTTTAACAATGAAAGGAAGGTAAAAGGAGTTTATAGTCAAATTTCTCAAATTTTTATGTTTGGAAAGATATTTAGATTTTTTTTTTTTTGGATGTAATGTTTGTAAGAAAAAATTTTTTTTTTTGTAGTTGAATATGATGTTTGTGAGAAAAAAAAAATGATTATAAGTTTGATGTGACATTTTGTTTTATTGACTAAGTTAGCCTATTTTGGCTTCGTTTGGGAAGGGGGTTGGCTTTTTGGCTTTTTGACTTTTTTGGCTATTTTAGCCTAGGCTAAAAAGCTTGGTTTGAGAAGGGTTTTTT